GGGCTAACCCCTAGCCTCTCCCATTCAGTCAGGCACATCTGCCTCTGTCCCCATGTGTTCCTGCACCCCCACTCAGCCACCCCTTCTCTGCCATCCCCATGTGGCCCTGCACTCCCACTCCCATTCAGCCCGTGACTCAATGCTATCACCCACTAGCTCCTGTGCGCCCGCCCCAGTCTGTCCCCCCCACTAGCCCTTGTGAACCTCAGTCTATGTAACCCCACCCCCCCAGAAGCCACTTGCCCTGCTCTGTCCATCCCTCACATATCCTGTGCCTCCTCACCTGTCCCCACAGGCAGGGCGCTGTGAGGAAAGCAGCCTCTTCTGCCCATGATCCAGCTGTCCTCTTTTTGCACCACAGTAGCCCCTAGTGGGTGAAAGGTGTAATTGCAGGCCCCCCCTGCAGAATCTATTTTCTGAGGGGTGGAGGTGGGACATGAATTTTGCATGTGTACAGTGGTGCAGAATTCCTCCAGGAGTAACTATTGTAGATAGTGGTGAAATAATTCAGCCACCAGGTTGTCTAGATCAGTGGTTTTCAAACTTTTTTTCTGGTGACCCAGTGCCTTGCATTCTGCGACCCGGTACTGGGTCGTGACCCAAAGTTTGAAAACCACTGGTCTAGATCTGCTCAGAGCAGAATTATGTAGCATGGTGATAAAGATGCTGGTGGATGTGTACACTAACACTCCCACATTTGCTAACACTGGTGGAAGGTTTTCACAAAACCTCAGCATAGGTACAAGGGTTCATAGTATAGATCAGATGGCCTGATTCTTCACCAGTGTGTTGTGTCTGCTTATAAGGGGGCCAAATTTTGCTGTGAGGTTTTTTGTTTTTTTGGGTGCACATTACAGTCCCTGGGTAATTGGACTGCAGCCATCAAGCTTGCTTTTCATTGGCTGTTGATAACAACTGTTGGTCACATGACCTAGGTTGGAATTGAGCCAGCAGCTAGAAGAGTGCTGTATCACATTACTAATCTCCAGAGCCATCTTTTATTTACTTAAAATGCATCTCAGTTTACCTTTACTAGCGATACCATCTGGAAGGTCTCTTACTTTCTGGAAGTCGGCCACGTATTCATTTTATTGCAAAGAATTTATGCTCTAGTTGACAAGATGTGTAATATGCTGTCAGATTAACAATAAACAAAATCTTGTGCACGGCATGGTCTACAGTTAGTCTGACAGTATATTGCGTGTGTCCCTCTTCTAGATAAGTATTTGACTAAGAGCCTAGATTAGCTACAGCAGTTGTTGGATTCCAGAAAGTAGGATGTCCAGGTGCTACTGCTGTTAATGTGAATCAGTTTTGCTCTATTTTTGAAAGACTTGAGAGGATTGCAATAAGACTCAGCAAAAATGGATTAAAAATTTAAGAATGATAAATGTAGCAGGACAAGTCAGAGAGTAACCCTTCATTAATCAAAGAATTCTATATCATTCTAGCACCTCAGGACTCTGGACTGCAGTAACATCTAATTGACCATCTTTAGTCACTTGTTTTAAGTCACATGTTTTTAATGCTGACAGTTAACTATGTCTGCTTGCCTCCTGATCCTTACTCTACCCTTTCCCATTTCCCTCTTCTGCATAACTCTCCCTACTCTACCACTCCCTTCCCCCCCTTGGGGGGAGGGATAGCTCAGTGGTTTGAGCATTGGTCTGCTAAACCCAGGGTTGTGAGTTCAATCCTTGAGGAGGCCACTTAGGGATATGGGGCAAAATCAGTACTTGGTCCTGCTAGTGAAAGCAGGGGGCTGGACTCAATGACCTTTCAAGGTCCCTTCCAGTTCTAGGAGACAGGATATCTCCATTAATTTCTTCTTTCTTCATATCTTTGTTCCTTCCTCTTTCCCTCCAACCTCTTCTGCTTGTCATGTTCTACCTCTTTCCCCCTCCCCCGAGGGGGGCCAAAAACCTCAAACAAACCCCAAGCAACCTGGAATAATAATATTCATCACTTGTATTATAACAGCACCTAGATCTCTCCTGAGATTGGGTTCCATTGTGCTGGGCACTGTACAGCCGCATAGTAAGAGATGTTACCCCAAGAGTAAGCAATCTAAACAGATAAAACAAAGCGGGGCTGGGAGGTGGGGGACAGTATTATACCCCTAGTTTAAAGATGGGGAACCAAGGCCCAGAGAGATGTTGTGACAAGGCCAAATTGGAAGGCTATGGCAGAGCTGGTGAGAATTGAATCTTGAACTCATGAGTCCCAGTAAAATACACTTAATGGTACAATCAAATAACAGCTCAGCCTAAATGTTGTAACCCTTGTCCTCCTTGCCTCTATTCCCACACTTTTGTTTGAGTGTAAACTCTTTAGGGCAGGGACCGTGTCTATTTTTAATCTGACTATAAAGCCTAGTACGCTCTGATCACTGTATAAATAGTAATGACAGTGCCTTTATTCTTTCTCTCTACTTTATTTGCTTAAAGAGCTACTATTGCCATTAAAAGCATATGTAATATTTCTATTTGTTATTAGATATAATGGGGGGCGGTGAAATACAGCTGATTTACTTTTCATCACTCATGTTCTTTTAGTTGTTTGCATTTCACTCATATTGATTGGACTGTTAAATTAGATTGGTAACTAAACTTTCCAATTAGTCTTTTGTATTTCAGGATTTCCTGCACTAGCCCAGTGCTGCTGTTTGTCTAAAAAACCAGAGGGTAATGTTGAAATACACTTTTTTCACCAAATTAAAAAAGAGCAGAGAAAAGACACTATATTTATATAGTGAACCAAATTCCTTACTCCTTTGAACTCAATTGATTTCAGTTGAGTTACACCAAGGATGAATTTGGCTCATTGTTTCCATTTCCATAATAACCTTTAAAACAACAAGAAGCTCAGTGATGGGCCTTAAGCTGGTTGAGAGTAATCCTTGACATGATCCACCATACCTCTGTTCAGTGGTCCTGGAACAATTTTTATAGTGGGGGAATGCAGAAACCATGTATTTGGGTTGTTACTACTTCAAGCCCGGGGGTGCGGTAGCACCCCCAGTACCCCTAGTTCCAGCACCTATGCCTCTGTTCATTTATTCCTTATACCCATGAAGCTGTAAAATAAAGATAGAGTTCATGCTTTTAAAATTAAAAGTGCCGTGTTTTCCACGAGCTCTTGCTTGTGATGAACTCGGTTGTGGATTTTAAAACTAGAGCCTCAAAAGCATTAAGATCTGGGGTTTTGGATCAGGCCAATTTCAAACTAAGTTTTTTTTTGTTTTGTTTTGTTTTGTTTTGTTTTTTTTAAATTAAACTAAAGAGAGCGTGTCACAGCTTGCCAGATCTGTTCTGTTTGCAACATACTGAATATTTTTTATCTCCCTCATTGTTCCTAGGACATGAAAGCTACATCACCTTTTGCCACTTAGAAAATGAGGTTGCATTCACATGTAGTGCAGATCACACAATTAGAAAGTGGGACGTGATGACAGGCCAGTGTCTGGCCATTTACCGAGGGCACACATCAATTGTCAACAGGTTGGTAATACAGATTCTTCACTTAAGAGGATCATTCCATTGTGCTTCTGTAACTTGACACCAGTTACATTGTATGCAGCTGTTGTAGACCTGTGGGTCCCAGGATGTTAGCGAGACAAGGCGGGTGAGGTAATACACCTCTACCCCGATATAACGTGACCCAATATAACACGAATTTGGATATAACGCGGTAAAGCAGTGCGCCGGGGGGGCGGGGCTGCGCACTCCGGTGGATCAAAGCAAGTTCGATATAACACGGTTTCACCTATAACACGGTAAGATTTTTTGGCTCCCGAGGACAGCGTTATATTGAGGTAGAGGTGTATCTTTTGTGGGACCTGAGGACGAGCTCTGTGTAGCTCGAAAGCTTGTCTTTCTCTCCAACTGATGTTGGTCCAACAAAAATATTATCTCATACACCTTGTCTCTCTACCAGTAAATTGTTTTTTTACCAGTAATCTCCATTACACAACTAAATGGGTTGTGTAAATCTTTGACTCTCTGCTACTCATGTTCTTTGCTGTAATGTTGAGTTATCCTAGCAACAGTGCTGACACAGCTATAGACTGGAGATGGGAGAACAGCAAAAGACTCACAGCATGGTGAATCTGCCACTGGGAATGGAATTCTAGAAGAAACTGCTCAGTTGAAAGCAGATGTCTGTGATAAATAGATTTTAAAAGCAGCGTGTCAGCCATTCTTGTTAGCAAAAAGGACATGGTCCTGTTTGAATGATTTATTCCTTATTGTTAAAACTAAGTTTAAAACGACACTGTGACTTCTTACTGAACTTGCATATTCCCTAGCTTGTTATCATTGGGTTTCTCCTGATTGCTGGAAAATATTTACTTATTTAGGAATAGAGCAATTGAAGCATTTGTTTTGAAAGGAAAAAACAAATACACACATGTAACAGAATCCCTAAACAGATAGGAGGCGAGAGCTCAAATACTGGGTCAGCCAGTTTTCATGACGTCTTCAATTAAAGGAACACCAAAACATTGCCCATTTTAGATGGCTGCCTTTGCAGCCTGAAAGATGCCAAAGGGCCATGTCTAACTTACGGACAAGAAGGTGGTTAGAAGTGTTCTCCCCACCCTGCCCTGTCTCTAATTCGGATGTTTGGCTTCTTGATCTAAGTGGACCAGCTGCTTTTTCTCATTAAGGTGAAGGTGCTATGAACTGTTATGTAGAACTTCATGGGCTGCATGCTGCTCTTTGATCAGCTCTTCTGTCGTCCAGTGGATGGAGTGCTGGCCTGGGTGTCTGATCCTACGTCTGTCACTGACTCCCTTTGAGAGTTTAAGGAAGTCACTTAACCTCTCTCTGCTTCAGTTTCTCTGGCTGTGTCTACACTACAGCTTTTATCAACACAATTTATGTTGCTCAGGGGTGTGAATAAACCACCCCCCCAGTGACATAAATTACACCAACATAAGCGCTGGTGTGGACAGCACTATTTCGATGGCAGAGCTTCTCCTGCCAGTATAGGTAGCAGCCACTCGCCGGGGCTGAAGTAGTTAAGCTGTTGAGAGAGCTCTCCCCCGCCTGCTTAGAGCAGCTACATTAGAGAGCTTACAGCAGCGCAGCTGTAGTGCACGGCTCTCTAGTGTAGCCGTAGCCTCTATCTGTAAAATTGGGATAATGATGATTATCCTCTTTTTGTGAAATCCTTGGCTAGGTGTTTATTTAAATGTTGTCTTTAACCTGCCTGTTTGTCAGACAGTTGCATGATAATTGGTTTTAGGAACCATTTGTGGTTCAATTTCTTGGAAACTAAATGTCTGATTAGTGTAATTGCTGTTATTGTTGGCTATTTTCTTAGGCCAGCATTTGGACAACTGAATAGCCATAATGAAAAATGAGCTGCTAAATAACAAGTTTAAAAAAGCAACTGATAACTAATGAATAACACATGGTAGCGCTGCTGGTCAAGGTTATTTTTTAGAGGGTGCCCCAAATTAGTCTATTTTAGGTGCCTAAATAAGTTACATGACTTCAAAATGCTGAAGCAGGTTTTGTTTTTGGCTTGTTTTGGTTTTTTGGGGGGATGGAGGAGATGGAGAGGAAGGATAGCATGTGATTATGTATAATGCATATGCAACAGGACCAAATTAAGGTTGCACAAGCAACCTTAATTCTGGCATTTCCTAACTTCTGAATGCTTCTATTTGCAACTTTAACATTCTTTTTATGTAGTTTTTTTTACATGTAATTCATATAGTTAATGAAAACATCAGCAATTAAATGAGAATAAAAATTGTAAAAGAATTAAACTCTCATTCTTCAGTGTATAAATAATCCCTAATTAGCTGGGATTCGGAAGAAACTTCTTTTATGGGCAAGTTATTCCATATGTAATTGTCCACTATGGGATTTTTTGTATCTTCCTCTGAAACATCTGGTGTTAGCCACTGTTGAAGATGGGATAGCAGATTAGATGGACCTCTGATCTGGTTTGGCAAATCTTATGATCCTGGGAATCTTCCATTGTCAGTGTATCAGAAATCTAAATACTTCCTGCAGTGGGGAATTGGAGTTGCTTGCTGGTGTGCTAAACTGGAAGGGAAATGTTAAGAAGCAGAGAATCAAATACCAAAGGCGAAAACCTTGATGAACCCTGAATGGAGTAGTCTTCTGCCTTGCAATGTGCCTGTTTTCATTTGTAACTGGGTAAGGCTCTGAAGGACTGTGCCATGTCCTTGCGTGTGGCAATGAGGCGCTCACACTGATATAGTTAATATATCTGATGGTTGAACAATTATTTGAGGGATGGTTGCTGCTAGCGCTTCATTGCACTCTTGGTACAGTATCCTTTATGCAGTCACCGGGGGCGAGGGGGGTGGAGATTAAAGCACAAAGCAACAATGTGTATATAGTTGTTTATTTTTAACAGGATCCTGGTTGCCAAAGACTATCTATTTAGCAGCTCCTATGACAGGACAGCTCGGTGCTGGAGTGTGGACAAGGAGAAGCAAATCCAGGAATTCCGGGGCCATCGGAACTGTGTTCTGACTTTGGCTCACTACTCCTCCAGGGATGTTCTTGATGAGTCGGAGGAGGAGCAGGAGAAACTGAGCAGAGACTTCCTGGTGACAGGAAGCACAGACTGCACTGTTAAGGTCTGGTGGGTGTCGAGTGGGCGTTGCTATCAGACTCTGCTAGGGCACACTGGGGCTGTTTTATGCCTTATACTTGATACTCCAAACAGGGAGTTATTTTCTGGCAGCACAGATTATACCATCCGAACATGGAATATTGTGACCGGCGAGCAGTTAAAAGTGTTCAAAGAGCATCAAGGATCGGTTATCTGTCTAGAGGTAAGAACCAGTATGTTTCATACTGCCACCTGGAGGTGATTATCCACATTATACCATTCTTGGCCAAGAACTGAATAGGCCAAGGGGACTGAGCCACCTTCTTATACTCAGAAGAGGTTTCTCTGAGACAGTGTACAGAAATTACATGCAGGAAACCTGCCCAGTTGTTGCCTCATCCATAGCTAAAAAGCTTCAGTACTGACAAGCTATAAAACAAAATGTTTCAGTAAGCACGACTAGGAAGCACAAGCTTTAGTCTCAGACCACAAAGTAGCCAGAAACTGGTGTAAGCAAATTAAAATGGACTGTAATGAAAAGTGTTGGGTAGTTTTAACTATAGGCAGCGCTACATGCATAGGCCCTGCCTTAGAATACCATACATCAGTGGTGTCAGACCTCTTCAATCTGAGGGCCAGACATATTGTTTCAGAAAGATCGAGGGGCCACAGTGAGTAGTTTGGGGCTGATTTTTTCTGTCTTGTTCCCTTTGCATTTTTCAGGTGGTGAAAAGGGAGCAGAAACCACCTGCGAGTCTCTGCTGGAGATTCCCCTGGCATATGGGGGGTGGTGTCTGGTGGGAATACAGCTGGGATACCCAGGTTTTATACTTCATTTCCTGTGGCCCCAGGTGCAAAAGACATGTTGGGGGGAGTGGGGACAGTGAAGTGGCAGGATTGGGCTGTGTTCTGGATTTCCTCAGTTGGCTTGTGGTCTCTTGAGTATCCCCGCCAGCTGGCACAAGCTGGAGTAGCCTCCAGGCTGTTCTGGGAGTAGAATCAGGGAGCCGTGAGTGGTGGTTGTTTTTTTAGGTTTTCTTCTCCCCCCCCCCACCGCCGCATCTTCAGGCCCCCTGTCCCCCATACACACTTTCTTGGGCTGTCCTTTGCTAGGTGCTCTCATTGGATTAGGCAGAGCCCGTCAAGCTTCCAACCTGCTCCCTCTGAGACTTCCATTGCCTGTTACCTAACCAGGTTGTGGAGCAGCTAGAGCTACTCACTCTTTCCTCTCCCTGCAATGCAACACACGACCAGTGCGGCGGCTGCATCAGGGAAGGTACAGCAGCTGCTTGGAGACCGCTGGGGAGGGTGTAGGGATGCAGCTGATTCAGACCTATACATTTAAAAATGTCAGGGCATGGCTAAGGGAACATTTTCAATTCGTAACCAAATACATGCTTTCCTTACCACAACAGTTTGGACAACCTTCCCTAAATAGAATCATAGAATCATAGAATATCAGAGTTGGAAGGGACCTCAAGAGGTCATCTAGTCCAACCCCCTGCTCAAAGCAGGACCAATTCCCAGCTAAATCATCCCAGCCAGGGCTTTGTCAAGCCGGGCCTTAAAAACCTCCAAATATATACAGTACCTCTGAACCTGAGAATTTCCAAGATGTTCTATCAACTGTCCCCAGAGATTGCTTCATCTACTACTGATGTACAGCCTCGGGGGGTATTTGTCAAAATGACACTGCAAGAGGAGGTTGCTCTGGTGGGGGAGTGGCATTATATGTGAAAGAAAGCATAGAGTCAAATAAAGTAAAAATTAGGGGAGTCAAGTGATTAAAAAAACTGCATGATTAAACAATAATAGAATACCATTTATTTAAATATTTTTGGGTGTTTTCTACATTTTCAAATATATTGATTTCAATTATAACACAGTGTACAGTGCTCACTTTATATTTATATTTTTATATTTGATTACAAGTTTCTGCATTGGAGTGTTGCCCTTTTAAGACTTCTGAAAGCATGCTCCACACCTCGTCCCTCTCAGATTTGGAAGGTACTTCAGATTCTTAAACCTTGGATCGAGTGCTGTAGCTATCTTTAGAAATCTCACATTGGTACCTTATTTGTGTTTTGTCAAATCTGCAGAGAAAGTGTTCTTAAAATGAACAACATATGCTGGGTCATCATCCGAGACTGCGATAACATGAAATATATGGTAGAATGCAAGTAAAACAGAGCAGGAGACATACAATTCTCCCCCAAGGAGTTCAGTCACTAATTTAATTAACGCGTTATTTTTTTAACAAGCATCATCAGCATGGAAGCATGTCCTCTGGAATAGTGGTCAAAGCATGAAGGGGCATACGAATGTTTAGCAACATTAATTAGAATGTAAATACCTTGCAATGCCGGCTACAAAAGTGTCATGCAAATGCCTGTTCTCACTTTTTGGTGACATTGTAAATAAGAAGAGGGCAGCATTACCTCCTGTAAATGTAAACAAACTTGTTTGTCTGAGCGATTGGCTGAACAAGAAATAGGACTGAGTGGACTTGTAGGCTCTAAAGTTTTACACTGTTTTTTGTTTTTGAGTGCAGTTATGTAACAAAAAATATCTACATTTGTAAGTTTCACTTTCATGACAAAGGGATTGCACTACAGTGCTTGTATTAGGTGAATTGAAAAATACTATTTCTTTTATCATTTTTACACTGCAAATATTTGTAATTAAAATAATATACACTTTGATTTCAATTACAACACAGAATACAATGTATTTGAAAATGTAGAAAAACATCCAAAATATTTCATAAATTTCAATTGTATTATATTGTTTAACCGTGTGATTAAAACTGCAATTAATTGTAATTAATTTTTTTAACCGTGATTAATTTTTTTAGTTAATCGCGTGAGTTAACTGTGATTAATCAACAGCCCAAGTAAAAATCTTAAACAAACTGTACCATAGGATATCTAGGCCTCAACTGGAGTATTGTGTCCAGTTCTGGGCA